ACACAGTGGCCACCCAGTTCCTCTAGAGGTCTAATAACTGGGCTTAGAGGCTGAGGCCCTCCCCTAATAAGAATATAAGAACTCTGCTGGATCAGACCAGTGGTCTGTCTAGTCCAACATCCTGTCTCACACAGGGGCCAGCCAGTTTCTCTAGAGGTCCAGCAACAGGGCATGGAGGCTGAGGCCTTCCCCCGATGTTGCCTCCTGGCTCTGGGATTCAGAGGTTGACTGCCTCTGAATGTGGACGTTCCCCTCAGTCACCCTGGCTAGTAGCCGCTGATAGGATTATCCTCCATGGCTCCGTCTACTCCCCTTTTAACGAGAATAAGTCAGCATCTTCCTCTCTTTGGTTCCCCTGACAGATTCCACGTGGAGCTCCGATTGGGGCCTTGCCGAATCAAGCCTGCCCAGCGACCCCGACGCCATGTCCGCTTCCGAGTGTTACATCGCGGTGAAGCTGGCGGATCAGCCCCTGGCTCCGAAATCCATCCTGCGGCTGCCGGAAACGGAACCGGGCGAATGCCCCTTGGGCGGATGCAGCATCTCCTACCTGAAGCAGCTCATCACCGGGAAACTCCAGGAATCGGTCCCTGACCCGGAACTCATTGGTGAGCTGTTTCAGAGCCCGTTTGGTCTAGTGGTTAGGAGCGCGGACTCTAATCTGGGAGAACCGAGTCTGATTCCCCACTCCTCCACATGCAGCTGCTGGTGTGACCTTGGGTCAGTCACAAGTTCTCTCACAGCTGTTCTCTCAAGGGCAGTTCTCGAAAGAGCTCTCTCGGCCCCGCCTACCTCACAGGCAATGCTCCCTCGAAGCGATGGAGTCCTGTGAGTAAAAATTCTACTTTGTGAGCTGCTGGCATTAAAGTTGTGAGCAGGTGATTTGGCTACTGCATAAATTAGTTTGCTCTGGAGCCCTCCATCCTGACCTAAGACAAAAATGTGTGAGCCGGAGGCTAAAAAACTGTGAGCTAGCTCATACTAACTCAGCTTAGAGGGAACACTGCTCACAGGCAATGTTCCCTCTAAGCTGTGCAGTCTCGTGAGCAAAAATTCTACTTGGTGAGCTACTGGTATTAAAGCTGTGAGCCAGCGATTTGGCTGCTACATCAATTAGTTTGCTCTGGAGCCGTCCTCCCTGAGCTAAGACAAAAATGTGTGAGCCGGAGGCTAAAAAACTGTGAGCTAGCTCATACTAACTCAGCTTAGAGGGAACAATGCTCACAGGGTGTCTGTGGTGGGGAGGGGAAGGGAAAGGAGTTTGTAAGCCGCTCTGAGACTCCTTCGGGTAGTGAAGGGCGGGGAATAAATCCAACCTCTTCTTCTTCTTTATAGCTTATAACATGGGGTCCATAACGTGCATCGTGGGCCTGGAGTTCCTGGGTCGTCTCCCATCCAAGTTCTAACCAGCAATGACCTTGCTTAGCTTTTAACATCTGATAGGATTGTGCTAGCCTGGGCCGTCTGGGTCAGGGATGCAATCAGACTCCGAATGCAAAATCGAATGATAATGTGACACTGAATCAGGGCCTGGAGTGAGTCTCTGTTAAACCTACGCGACTTTAATTTGTAAAGTCTAATGTCCACTGTCCAGGACAGAGTCAACAATGTCTCACTCTCAGTCACACTCTCAGGCAGGGTTTAATCCAAAAGTACAATGTTTATTCCAGAAACCTTATGCCAGGTAACACTGCACTCACAACATGCTCCTGTTACAAACAAGTAGACGACTAATAAAAACCCATTCTGCTAATGCCCTGCAGGTGGACATGACAACTCCAAGCGATCTTAAAGACACATTACAGCCTCTATTGTTGAATCTGTAGTTCTGTTTCCCAGGAGGCTTCAGGACTCTGCTAAGTGGTACCTATAACCCTGTACATGACTTTGGCCCCGTGTTCCCTCTAAGCTGAGTCAGTGTGAGCTAGCTCACAGTTTTTTAGCCTCCGGCTCACACATATTTTTGTCTCAGCTCAGGAAGGATGGCTCCAGAGCAAGTCAATTTATGCAGCAGCCAAATCGCTCGCTCACAACTTCGATGCCAGGAGCTCACAGGGTAGAATGTTTTTGCTCACAGGACTCCACAGCTTAGAGGGAGCATTGCTTTGGCCTCACGTGACTTTTGCCCAAACTGTCTTTCAGATCTGATCTATTGTGGCCGGAAGCTGCGGGACGACCAGACCCTAGAATTCTATGGGATCCAGTCCGGCTCCACAGTCCACGTCCTCCGCAAGTCTTGGCCCGAACCGGATCAGAAACCAGGTAAGAGGTGTGGTGGCGGCGTGCCATGAACCTCTGTGCGTGCAGCATCATAGATACTTCACAGCCGTACCAGGCTGTGTGTCCTTTGCTCCATTCTCCGCAAAACGAAACTGCCCTTTACCCTATCATAGAGATGTAAAATTTCCGGAAATTTAGAAGCTCAGAAAAAAACCGTTTTTCCCCGTTTTTGTTTTTTTTTGAAAAAAACGGAAATTTTCGGAACTTTTTTTAAAAAATGCTACATTAGCATTTCTTTTGTCTTTTCTAGATTGAAAGTCATTCTGTTACTTTAGGAACATAAAATATGACTATGGACATTTTTACTTGGCATGAAATTATCACAACTAGCGTATTAAAAATATAGTGTATCCAAACAATTATTACAAACAGAATACCCACCCACATGCAAAAACAAAACTGAAACTTTTTAATTTTCTCCTGACAATCGCACCTCCTAAAGGAAGAAATGCATCTTGTTCTTGCATTGTTCAGTTTGTAACCTAGGACTTGCTTGTCCTCAGTACACAGAAATTAGATCAATCTGATAGCATATATATATGTTTTAGAAATGATTTGGAAAATATTTGAACACCTTGTCTTAAAATATTTTATTCATCGTGTTAAAATAAAATGTTCCATAATCAATTTTTTTTTCTTTTTTCAATTTTTCCAATTTTTCAGAAAAAAACAAAAAGGCTTCAGGAAAAAAAACGGAAAATACCCATTTTTCCCCCGAATTTCCCGGGCCTTCACATCTCTACCCTATCTCCACTAGCCTCCTCTTCGAATGCAGGCCCGTAACCGAGAGACCCGTCCGACCGTTCCCAGCCTACCCAATACAGTCCCCACCGGCTGCTTCGCTTTTACAGAGAAAGCAGCAGTGTTCACATTAAAATTTCTTTGCATTTCACGGTAGTTTCTCTCGTGTTTTCGAGCTTGGCTTTGCAGCCGTAGAAGCCGATCTCATCAGATGTTAAAAGCTTTGCAGCCGCCATTTACATGTAAGCTGACTTTTCTGGAAGGCAGCACTTAATTTACACTTCCGGAAAACTGCGTGATACGGGGGTCCCCAAGATGGTGCCCGTGGGCGCCGTGGCCACCTTTTCTGATGCCTGCCAAGTGTTTTTAGGCAGTGGGCGGGGCCAGCGAGGGCGTTTGCCCAACAAGGCTTCCAATTGGCCACTGGAGATTTGATTAACTGTGCAGCTTTTTAAGTTAAACAATGTTGTGTCGGCAGCCGCTGCCACCTCAGCATAAGGATCTGCACCGTGTTACTGAAGTTTTTTTTTGTTCAGTCGCACAGTTGAGTCCACATCATGCCAGGTCCTCCTGTCTTCCGTCGTGCTCCGGAGTTTGCTTAATTTCATGTTTGTTGCCTCGATAACTCTTTCTAACCATCTCATCCCTTGCCGTCCCCTTCTTCTTTGACCTTCAATCTTCTTCTCCAGTGAGTGCTCCCTTCTCATTTGGTGGCCAAAGTCTTTGATCTTCAGTTTCATTATCTGGCCTTCCAGGGAACAGTCAGGGTTGATTTCTTCTAGGATTGACTGATTTGATCTCCTTGCAGTCCAAGGGACTCTCAAGAGTCTTCTCCAGCACCATAGTTCAAAAGAATCCATTCTTTGGCGCTCGGCCTTCCTGCCTTCCTTATAGTCCAACTCTCACAGCCATACATGACTACTGGGAACACCATTGCTTTGACCATGCGGACTTTTGTTGGCAGGGTGATGTCTCTACTTTTTATCATGTTGTTTAGGTTCGCCATCGCTTTCCTCCCAAGGAGCAGGCATCTTTTCATTTCATGGCTGCTGTCACAGTCTGCGGTGATCTGGGATCCCAGGAACGTGAAGTCTATCACTACTTCCACGACTTCCCCTTCTATTTGCCAAGGAGTGATGGGGCCGGATGCCATGATCTTAGTTTTTTTGATGTTGAGCTTCAAGCCCACTTTTGCGCTCTCCTCTTTTACCCTGAGCAAGAGGCTCTTGAGGTCCTCTTCACTTTCTGCCATCAGAGTGGTATCGTCTGCATATCTGAGGTTGTTGATCTTTTCCCCAGCAATCTTAATTCCCGCTTGTGATTCATCCAGGCCAGCATTTCGCATGATGTACTCTGCATATATATTAAATAAGCAAGGTGACAATATACATCCTTGTCGTACTCCTTTTCCTATGCTAAACCAATCAGTTGTTCCATATCCGGTTCTAACTGTCGCTTCTTGGCCCTTATACAGGTTTCTCAAGAGACATGTGAGGTGGTCTGGTACTCCCATCTCTTTAAGGCCCTGCCATAGTTTGTTGTGATCCACACAGTCAAAAGCTTTAGCATAGTCAATGAAGCAGAAGTAGATATTTTTCTGGTACTCTCTTGCTTTCTCCATAATCCAGCGAATGTTGGCAATTTGATCTCTAGTTCCTCTACCTCTTCGAAACCCAGCTTGTACTTCTGGCAGTTCTCTATCCACGTACTGTTGAAGCCTAGCTTGTAGGATCTTGAGCATGACCTTGCTAGCGTGTGATATGAGTGCAATTGTGCGATAGTTTGAACATTCCTTGGCATTGCCCTTCTTTGGGATTGGAATGTATACTGATCTTTTCCAATCCTGTGGCCACTGTTGCGTTTTCCAAATTTGCTGGCAAATGGAGTGCAGAACTTTAACAGCATCATCTTCTAAGACTTTGAATAGCTCAGCTGGAATACCATCACCTCCACTAGCTTTGTTGTTAGTAATGCTTTCTAAGGCCCATTTAACTTCACATTCCAGGATGTCTGGCTCGAGGTCAGTGATTATACCGTCGTGGTTGTCAAGGACATCGAGGTCTTTCTTTTTACCCTTTGGGTCAAATGGTCGGTTGGTTTCCTTTTTCTTTTTTTCTTTTTTTTTTTTTTTTTGGCTTTCTTTTCTCCAGAGCCCGTGGATAAAGTGGCGGCCGTACGAGAATTCCGAGTTCTGCACACCGCCTTACACAGCAGCCCGGTCTTCCGGGATTCGGTGGGTAGAACCGAATCTGCCCCTCTTTTATTTAATTCAATTTAATTTTTTTTTTGTTAAACTTCTCTCCCGCCCTCCCCACACTGTCTCAAGGCAAGGGCCAACAATTTATTACAGCATGCTATTAATGCAGATCTACAGTTAAAACGTTGAAACAATTCATTAATATCAATGAAATTACTAACAGACAGGGCTTTTTTTGTAGAAAAAGCCCAGCAGGAACTCATTAGCATAATAGGCCACACCCAACAGCAGAAACTCATTAGCATATTAGGTCACACCCTGACAGCACATCTCATTAGCATATTAGGCTACACCCCGTGTTATCAGAAGTGTGGTCACCCAGCCACACCCACCTTTTGCTTCTTATTCTGTTTACCTTGTTTGTTGTCAAGACCTAGGGCTTTTTTTTGTAGCAGGAACTCCTTTGCATGTTAGGCCACACACCCCTAATGTAGCCAACCCTAATGAGTTTCTGCTGTTGGGTGTGGTCTATTATGCTAATGAGTTCCTACTGGGCGTGGCCAACACGGGAGCCAGCCGGAACTCCGTTCCTGTGCGTTCCTGCCCAAAAATAGCCCTGCTAACAGACTAAGACAACGACGCGCCTCAACAGATAATATTAAGTCCGACGATGTTGTGGTTCCAGTTGGCTTCTAGGATCTGTAGTCACTGGAGGGGAGGCCAGATCGAAACGGATGCACCAAATGTCTGGTGGAAGAGCTCCGTCTTACAGGCCCTGCAGATCTGTAACAGGTTCTGCAGGGGCCAGGGCGAAAAAGTCGAGGAGAGTCGGTCTCTTGAAGCAGTTCTGCCCTTTAAACAAGAGGGGGCAGGGAAGAGCAGGTTTAGAATATTTATCGGGTCTCCCCCAAATTCTTGCCGATCGCTTTTGTGTTTCCCCCCACAGGTCTTCAAGATGCTGGGGAATAAGGAGTCCTTGGATCAGATCATCGTTGCTACGCCCGGGCTGAACAGCGACCCCATTGCTTTGGGTGAGTTGAGGGGGGGGGGGTTGGAATGGAAAGGAAGGAATTGGCTGTTGTGTTCTTATAACACTCTGCTAATTGGGGGAACAGATGGGGCCCGGGATTTAACCACCATTCACGTCTCTTGTTTCTTTGCCGAAGCTTATTGTGGCCTGATTTTCACTAGAGGGTTTGGGGGGTGGGTGGGGAGCTAAATCATTTCGAGGCAGCTAAATGATTCAAAATGATTCTGGTAAGGTTAAGCAGAGGCAGGGGTCATTTCCGGCGGGAGCGCACAGGAACGGAGCTCCGGCAGTAAAGAGCCCAGGGGGCAGGCACATGCAACAAGCCCCGCCCCCTGCTCCCAGCAGCCCTCAGTCAGAGCAAGAAGCAGCCAGGTAAACTGCAGAGCTCCCCGGCCCCCCAGTCCAAAACAGTCCAATGGCACCTTTAAGACCAAGTTGTATTCAGGTACAAGCTCTCCCTTCTCTGCGAGGAAAGATCTGCACGGCCCTTCCCCTGATAGCTAGCAATCCAAAACAGTCCAGTAGACACTGAGCGGTAGGTGTTGCCTTCTGACACACTTCTGCCGATGTCAGGGGGTGTGGTGGATGCAAATGAGTTATGCTAATGAGCTCCTGCACCTCTTTTTCTATGAAATGACCCTTGAGCAGAGGACTAGACTGCAGTGCCTTGCGGCCCAGTCCGATGTGTGTTTCGATTTTTGCAATATATTTTGTGTCTTTATAGGGGTGTTGCAGGATAAGGACCTTTTTTCTGTCTTTGCTGATCCGGCCATGTTGGACACGTAAGTTTTTTTTAATATGTGTGCATATGCTTGTGCACCTGGAAGTCATGGCGACCTCTGGTGACTGCCCCCTGCTGGGGGCCTGGAGGATATTCAGAGAGGTGGCTGAACAAAGCCTGCCCCCCACCTCCCACCTCTGGTATTCCAAGGAGGTCTTCCATCCAAGGAGTTGCCAGAGTCGACCCTGCTTTGCTTTCCGAGATCTGATGAAATCGGGCTTACCTGGGCTACCCGGGTCAGGCTGTGGACACCTAAGTTTGATGAACTTTTGGCCATGACCAATGCTCCCTCTAAGCTGTGGAGTCTTGTGAGCAAAAATTCTGCTTTCTGAGCTAATGGCATTGAAGTTGTGAGCAAGCGATTTGGCTACTGCATACATCAGTTTGCTCTGGAGCCCTCCTTCCAGAGGTAAGACAAGAATGTGTGAGCCAGAGGCTAAAAAACTGTGAGCTAGCTCACACTTACTCAGCTTAGAGGGAACATTGGCCATGACCTAGCTGGCATTTGTGACCCTGTAACGTCTGCCCCCGTTTTGGTAGCAAAGTCATGTGTGGTCTCCATTTCTCCGTGGCCAAAAAAAAAGGTAGGAGATCGTCTTGGATCTGGCTGGTCTTCCCAAACCTTTCCCAGGTAGATTCTGGATTTGTACCTGAGCGCTAAAACTCCAATTAGGTCTAGTTGACCCATATGGCAAGTTTGCCTGCCCTTCCTACGTGACTCTCCAATGCTCAAAGTTTACACCAACCAGGTCTTCCCCCTCCCCATTATTTTGATGCTTTCTCCTGTTACTTCAAGATGGGTAGCCATGTTAGTCCCATCTGCAGTGGCAGGAGAAAAAGCCAGAGTCCAGAAGCACCTGAAAGGGTTTGCGCTTCCGTGAGCCGCCCCTCACTTCTTCAGATACCTCTAATGTGTCTGCGGGTCTTTCCTAATCTTTTTTGAGCCCACTGGCACCTTCGGAGTGCTAATACAGCATGGTGCGCACAGCCACAAAGTGGCTGCCACAGAAAGGGGGGCCACGGGAAGCGGAGACATCCAGAATGTCTGCCTCGGCTTACCTTCAGTCACACGGTGAAGACCAGGGCTATTTTGGGGCAGGAACGCACAGGAACGGCGTTCCGGCTGGCTTCAGAGGTGGCCACGCCCACTACACTACTTATGCCCCTTGTAAGCCGCCCTGAGCCTGCTCACGGGGAGGGAGGGGTAAAAATGCCTAAATAAATACAGCCAAAATCTCTGCATGCGTGGCTACAGAGGGAAGGCCTGGAGAGTGACACACACCCCCGGTGACTCCGAGGCGGGTGGGCCAGGGGGGACCCTGGAAGGATCGGGGAGGCATTTAAATGCCTTCCCCGGCCTGTCCAAGGGCCGGCTTGCCCGGGCTCCCTGCAGCTGTGGGGCGCCCGGGCAACCCAAGGGAAGGCATGGGGGTGTGGCCTAATAGGCTAATAAGCTGCACTACCAGGGTGTGGCCTATTATGCTAATGAGTTCCTGCTGGGCTTTTTCTACCAAAAGTCCTGATTTGTGGTCGGGGAACAGCTTTGTTTAGGAAGCTTGTTTTCGGAACCTCTAATCAACGATGCTTCGCCAGATCTGGCCCGCGTGACATGTCTGTCTTCTTTCCCCTCGCCAGGCTCATCCCGACCCACCCCGCTCTGGTGAACGCCATCGTCCTGGTTCTGCACTCGGTGGCGGGCAGCACCCCCTTGCCCACCCCGGAGACTTCCTCGCGGAGCATGCCGTCCAGCTCTTACCGCGACATGCCGGGTGAGTGATGTGCTCTGGCCTAGGGTACGGGCTCGCGCAGGGTCCCTAGGGAGGTCACTCACAGCCTTCGCTTCTCCATGCTCGGCAGTGCACAGAGCTCCAAGAGAACTGGTCGGGTCCAGCCGACTCTCGAAGGTTCACGGGAAAGGGCCTTGCGCCCCCTCTCACCGCAGCTTCCTGCAACCTCTCTTGGAAGACTTCTTTTGAGGAGGTGGGAGGGTAGGAACCGAGAGCAGCGTGGTGCAGGAGGCGTTAACGACTGAATTAGCAGGAATCCCTCCAGCGCAGGTTCTTCCTTTCCCTCCTAGAACTTTCCTTCTGAGACATTTGGACTTCTAAATCTAGGGTTTGGGGCTCTGCTGCTCGGGGTGAGGGTAAGTGTCTAACTGAGGCTTGATCTCTTTTTGCGCCAGGTGGTTTCTTGTTTGAAGGCCTCTCTGATGATGAAGATGACTTCCATCAGGTAACACTGGGGTTGTGAGGAGGAGGGCACTGTTTCCTCTAAGCCAGGGGGTGTCAAACCTGCGGCCTGGGGGCCGGATTAGGCCCCCGGAGGGCTTCTATCAGGCCCGCAGTGGAACTGGCTGTCTTCTACTTCTTTTTCTGGTTCTGGTGCTGCTGCTGCATCATCGTAGGTTTGCAACGTACAGATACACACCTGAGCAGCATACTCAGGATTGCAACAGCACAGACGTTTTGATGCAATCATTCAGAGCAAGAGGTGTCAGTTACCGGACACTGTTAAATAAACAAAATATTGCAAGAGCGCTAATGCTTAAAGCATGTTTTTATTTTAAGTAAAACAAAACCCTTTGTGTTTGTGTCCTTTAGAAGTTTATATCTCCGCTACCTGGCATTACATTTTATGACACACGTGGCCCGGCCCAACAAGGTCTCATTTATGTCAGATCCGGCCCTCATAACAAATGAGTTTGACACCACTGCTCTAAGCTGAGTTAGTGTAAGTGAGCTCACCGTTTTTTAGTCTCCAGCTCACACCTTTTTGTCTTAGCTTAGGAAGGATGGGACTCCAGAGCGAATTAATTTACGCAGCAGCCCAATCGCCCACTCATAACATTAATGCCAGTCGCTCACAAAGTTGAATTTCTGCTCACAAGACTCCACAGCTTAGAGGGAGCATTGCTCACAGTTCTCTCAGAGCTCTCTCAGCCCCACCTGTCTCGCAAGGTGTCTGTTGTGGGGAGGCAGTGTTCCCTCTAAGCTGAGTTAGTGTGAGCTAGCTCAAAGCTTTTTAGCCTCCGGCTCACACCTTTTTGTCTTAGCTCAGGAAGGAGGGCTCCAGAACGAATTAATTTATGCAGTAGCCAAATCGCCCACTCACCACTTTCTTGCCAGTAGCTCACAAAGTTGGATTTTTACTCACAAGACTCCACAGCTTAGAGGGAGCATTAGAGAGAGGGGTGAGTTTGGGGTAGCTCACACCAGTTAGTCCCTGTGGTATATCTTTGGCTGCCTTGAGCTCTCGGGAGAGACGGCAGGACATAAAAGTGTTCATATAACTTTTAATAATAGCAATTGGCACGGTTTCTTTTCCCCAACAGAGTACCAGGACGACTCCTTCCAGCAGTACCTCTGGCTCCCGCCCCGCCTCCCTCGGCTACACTGGGGCAGCAGGACCCCGGCCCATCACCCAGAGTGAGTTGGCGACAGCACTGGCGCTGGCCAGTACCCCCGAGAGCAGCTCGCACACTCCGACTCCAGGAACCCAGGTAAAGGAAGAGAGTAGATTTCAATTGAACGTTAGGAGGAACCTACTAATAGTTAGACAGCGAGATCTCAGTCCCGGAGCAACTTAGAGACCAACCATATTTTTTGGGGGGGTCTCAGCTTTCAAGCTCCCTTCATCAGACACAAGTGGGAATGAAGATCCCCGAGTCCTTATATCACAGCCAGGAGGTGGGAGGGCTGTTGCAGAGAAGTCACTCAGGATGCAGAGGTACAATATGCATTGTGATCAGGTTGCGGAAAAGAGCCAGAGTCCAGTAACGCCTTGAAGACTCACAAAATTAGTGGCAGGTTATCAGCTTTTGTGAGTCACGGCTCACTTCTTCAGATACAGCTAGAATGGGAGTTCATCTGTCCTTATATATGAAATCGCTCCACTCTTCAAGACATAAAGACAGATGGACTCCCATTCTAGCTGTGTCTGAAGACGTGAGCAGCGACTCACGAAAACTCCCTCCCTGCCACAAATATTGTAAGTCTTTGAGGTGCTCCTGGATTCTTGCTTTTTTCCCTACTGCTACGGACAGACTAGGTGTTGTGGGATTCTGGGACCCCGGTGCTTGTTCCCTGGGACCCTCCCAGTCCCCTTTAGTTCTTTGGTTGGTTGGTTGGTTGGTTGGGTGGAGACTGGCAGGGAACTGAATCAGTAGAGAGAGACCATCATTCTTACCAGTTTGTCACAATATAAGCTTCTTAAGGACAGAAAGCACTTTAGCCCTGACAAATCTTTTAGGATAAAAATGTAACATTTCCATATTCAGCACAGAATACTTCAGCACAAAGGTAGTGCACTAGTATGAAATACAGAGCGCCCTGGTCTAGTCCACAAGAGCTCACAGAGAGCTGATGGGTGACCAGCCCAAAGCAAAGAAATCTTCAACCGTTTATACCCTCAGTACCCGCAAGGATGACGTAAGCTTAACACACCTTTAGCAGAATCCAGGGGTCATTTCCTGCAGGAGCGCACAGGAGCGGAGCTCCGGCAGTAAAGAGCCCAGGGGGCGGGCACATGCAGCAATCCCCGCCCCCTGCTCCCAGCAGCCCTCAGTCAGAGCAAGAAGCAGCCAGATAAGTTGCAGAGCTCCCCCCGGCCCAAAACAGTCCAGTGGCACCTTTAAGGCCAAGTTTTATTCAGGTACCAGCTCTCCCTCCTCTGCGAGGACAGATCTGCACGTTTCCCCCCCCCCAAATAGCTAGCAATCCAAAACAGTCCAGTGGAGCCTGAGCGGTGGGTGTTGCCTTCTGACACACTTCCAGTGATGTCAGGGG